AGTGTATTTATATTTAAAGTGTATCTCTTGTACAATTGCAGTTAAGGCTTGCCTTTTTATCAATTCTAATAACCTTTTCCTTTTAAGTAGAATGTTTAGTCCTTTAACATTTAATGTAATTATTAATTTAGTTGGATTTGGGTCTAGCATCTTATTATTTGTTTTCTGATTATCATCTTTGTTTTTTTCCCTTCCCAAAAACTTTTCTGCTTGAGGTATTCTTTGTATTATTTATTTTTTAAATTAATTTTAATTTATCCACTGCTAAATGATCAATTTAAATTTATCTTTTGATAAATGGGTAAACTTCAACAATGTTTAGCTATTATGGTTAATCTTTTTAGTGGTTGTTTGGAGATTACAACATACATCTTTAATTTTCTGTCTATTGTACAACTTTGTGTAACATGTAAAAATCCTGCAACAGCATAAGTCCATTTACTAACATTAACTGGTCTTTATGTTATTATTGTCACATGTATTATACCTCTCTACATATAAGCCCCATGAGATGGTGTTGTAATTTTTGTTTCAAATGGTCAAATGCACAATTTAAATAAATTAAGAAAAATGGTCTTCTATATTTTCCCAGATATTTATCATTTTATTCTTTCCTAAAAGTCTGATTTCACTATATCATTCCCTTTCAATAAATATTTAGATTTATTTATCTAAAAATTAATAAAATAAAAAAATAACAAAATAATATTTTTGAAACTACCTCAATGAAAGCTCTAAAGAAATTTATTTAGCATCCCTTATAACGCGGCTCCATTAGTGACACATTCCTGTTGTTTTCTATTATCTGAAAATAATTTTATTTCATCTTCATTCTTGAAGTTCATGTTCACAGGATGTAGTATTCTGTGTTGACTTTTTTTTTCTTTTTGGTACTTTAAATGAATTATTCCATTGTTTTCTGGCCTCCATAGTTTCCGAGGAATAGTCTATTGTAATTCAACTTGTTCTCCTAAATGTAATTTGCCATTTTTCTTTAATTTTATCTTTGCCTCTTAGCAGTTTGACTATAATATGTGCCTAGGCATTCTTTTCATGAAATTTATCCTGTTTTAGGTTTGCTGAATTTCTTGAATCTGTCTATTTATATGTTTGGCAATATTTGGAGACTGTTCAGTCATTATTTCTTCAAATTCTTTTTCTTTCCCATTCTCTCTCTTTTCTCTCCTTCTGAGACTCAAATTGCCCTTATGTTTGCTCATATAAAATTATCCCACATGTCCCTAACATTCTACTCATTTAAAACATCTTTTTCCTCTTACTTTTTTCAAATTGAATAATTTCCAACTTTGAAATTTGAAAAATGAACTTTTAAAAGTCACTGTTTCTTTCTTCTGTCTTCTCTGCCATGCACTAAGCCTATGTAGCAAATTCTAAATGTAGATATTTTATTTTTCAGTTCTAAAATTTGTTTTTCATTTATATTTTCATTTTACTCACAAACCTTACCATATTTTATTCAATACAAGCACATTTTTTGTTATCTCACTGAGCATAGAAATAATAATTGTTTTAAAAGTCCAAAGTCCTCATCTGATAATTCTAACAATGGTTTATCCTAGAGTGTATACCTATTGATTGTCTTTTGCCTTGCTAAGAAATCATTTTTTCCTGATCCTTATATGTCACTTAGATTGTATCCTGAATATTATAGATATAAGTTGTAGGGAATCTGGGTTCTGTTATATTGCTCTGAAGATTGTTGATGTTTTGTTTTAGCAGGCAAAACTTATTTATACTCAAAATACAAACTCTGTACAGGTTCAGTAAGCAATACATCAGATATTGCTGGACACAGGGAAGGAAACATCACACACCGGGGCTTGTCAGGGGGTGGGGAGCTAGGGAAGGCATAGCATTAGGAGAAATACCTAACATAGATGACAGGTTGATGGGTGCAGCAAACCACCACGGCACATGTATAAACCTGCACTTTCTGCACATGTATCCCAGAACTTAAAATATAATTTAAAAAACTAATAAAAACGGTTTGAAAAAAATAACAAAAGGTGGCCAGGCACAGTGGCTCATGCCTATAATCCTAGCACTTTGGGAGGCCAAGGCCAGTGGATCATTTGAGGTCAGGAGTATGAGGCCAGCCTGACCAACATGGTGAAACCCCATCTCTACTAAAAATACAAAATATTAGCCGGGGCTGGTGGTGCATGCCTGTAGTCCCAGCTACTCGGGAGGATGAGGCAGAAGAATCACTTGAATCTGGGAAGCAAAGGTTGCAGTGAGCTGAGATCATGCCACTGCACTCCACTCTGGGCGACAGAGTGAGACTCTGTCTTAAAATAATAATAATAATAAAAGGTTTGAATATAGCAGAGAACAGCTTCACATATATTCAGATATATCATGGTTTTGAAGGATTTGTGTGAGGGCTTGTTTAGACAGCGTATAATCCTGGCTTCCTGACAATCTAGTAAAGTGTTCTAAAGCTTGCATAATTGCCTCTTAACATATTTTCCAAACATACGTATACTACTTCTGTTATATATACTTTTCTTATAGATTTTCTACTTCTGCTTAGCTACAATTTTGTCAAAAACTTAGCTATATAATTTGTATTTCCACTGTACTGTAATCATAAGTCTCATTCATTCTTTCAATCTACAACTAGGGTAGCGAGGCTGGCATAGGCAGGATCTAAATCCATAATCACCTGGAATAAACCAGACATACTGGTTCACACTGGAATGCATTGCTATACATCAATGCAAGCATACTTAGTGTTCATCTTTAGCTCTTGTTCTTATAAGTGGGTATTTGTGAAGTACCAGTTGTGAATAATTTGAATGTTGCCTCTGATTTTAAAAAAAGTTACAAAATTAGTGATTTAGCAAAACACAGGTGAATTTAGTATAAAAAATGGCCAAAATAGTCACTTGAAAATAAAGGTTAGTGAAATCTGTTTATGTGCTACTCTTGTATATTTGTGTTTCTTATTCTGTACTAGCTTTATTATCTTGAAGACAGAGTGAAACAAAAATATCTCAAAGAGAGAATAAAATCATGGAATAGATTACGTATTGGAACACCCTGATGTGGTGGAAACTTATTTATTGTTACAGCCCATAGTACCACGTTTTGTTTCTATGCTATCCCCATCAAGCTACCATTGAGTTTCTTCACAGAATTAGAAAAAACTACTTTAAATTTCATGTGGAACTAAAAAAGAGCCTGTATAACCACGACAATTCTAAAGAAAAAGAACAAACCAGGAGGCATCATGCTACCTAATTTCAAACCATACTACAAGGCTACTGTAACCAAAACAGCATGGTATTGATACCAAAACAGATATACAGACCAATGGAATAGAACAGAGGCCTCAGAAATAACACCACACATCTACAACCATCTGATCTTTGACAGACCTGACAAAAACAAGCTATGGGGAAAAGATTCCCTGTTTAATAAATGGTGTTGGGAAAACTGGCTACCATATGCAAAAAACTGAAACTGGGCCCCTTCCTTACACCTTATACAAAAATTAACTCAACATGGATTAAAGACTTAAAGTAAGACCTAAAACCATAAAATCCCTAGAAGAAAACCTAGGCAATAGCATTCAGGACATAGGCATGGGCAAAGACTTCATGACTAAAACACCAAAAGCAATGGCAACAAAAGTCAAAATTGACAAATGGGATCTAATTAAACTAAAGAGTTTCTGCTCAGCAAAAGAAACTATCATCAGAGTGAACAGGCAACCTACAGAATGGGGGGAAATTTTTGTAATCAAATCTTTTATTATAACTTTTAATAATAGTTCAATTGCATGGAGGGTTACTTTTTTCCTGAAGTTATGCAATGATTAATTGAATTGCTCTGAATTTTTCAGATGCTGGCTAAGTCTAGTATATTCCAATAAAATTTAAGTCAAATATTTCCATATGTTTTAATAAACTAAAGCTACATGGAAACTCTTAGCCACTCTTAATAAAAATCAGCCTCTCAGATTTATTGTTCAGTACAGTTTATTTCTCTGAATCCTTGAAAGATGGTGAGCACATAAATACCCAATAAACAGCTGATTATTTAATTTAAATATAAAGACTATTTCAGTCACAATGGATTCAGAATTTTGTAAGGATTTAGATGATCTCTGCCTGCAAGGTTTGAAGTGCCTTAACCTATATTTATAGCTACAATGATTTATTGGCTTGCTATATATGACACAAAGTGTGGTAAGCATTTTAAAATGATTCTGTTGTTTATCATAATGTATTCCAACTGCAGAATAAATGTTATTATCTATTTTCAAGAAATTAAATTTTTAAAGATGTAAAGATATTAAGTCACTTCCCAAATGTCATACAGCTAGCAAGTGACTGAGTCCATATTCAAAACACAGGTATGTGCCTAAATTCATGCAACAGAATTAAGTGTACATAATTTTTTTAAGTGTCAAATAATTTCCTTAGAAAGTGTCAAAAGATTGATAAGAAGTCCAAATCAAATACAGGGTGAAAAACACATGTTATTAAATAAAAGATAAAATTCAGATTTAACGAATTCAGATAAAAGCAACACAAGTTTCCTAGAGTTAAAAAAAAAAAAAGCAAATATATCCAAAGTGTCCTCAGTTGAACACTGTTAGAAGTTATTTTTCAAACTTTCTTCTTTGAGAATTTTTAGGACAACATCGAATTATTTGACTGAAACTAGTTTCACTTCCCAATTCATCAATAAAAAGCAATGTAAAGATGGCAAAATAAAGTAGTTGGAACTTAATCATAACATTCTATAGCTTTTATTTATAAACATTTGAATATCTGTATAAAGAAAAACGAGAGAGAAATAAGACATACATACATACACAAAGAGAAGGTGAGAGTGAGAGAAAGAAAGAGAGAGAAAGCAATACTAATCAACATTTTAGGTAAGGTGTTATTTTCTCAAAAGCAGCATACTTCATCCAACTTCAGAGTTCCTTCCCTGGCCTTCAAATCTCTCTCTTTTCTCATCCTTACCTCCAGTCATCCTTTGACAGGTTAATCAAAATATTCATTTCCTCGTCATCTTGCAGAAGGCGATAAGCTGCACTTAAATGGTGATTCTCCAGTACAGATCTGTCATTGTACAGAATTGCTGGATCAGACCTGAACAGAAACCAAGCAAAATTCAGAATGTTAAACAGTTGTGATTTATTTGGGTAATTCTAACAGGCTAGAACGCACTACCACTTTTTCCCATGCTTAGAAATTATCTTTGTCCCCATGCCATTTATGTGAACCAAAAACTCAACTAACACTACAAATCATCAATAGATGAATGTAGGGTATTTTAGTATCGGTACATGTGTGGGCAGGAAATATGTAACATCTAGCCTAAGAACTCTCTTAAAACTGTTTTACAACCAGATCTCAATTACCTATATTACTGGCAAAGGTGCTTTTTCTTTTTTTTTTTAAAATATGGGTCATGTCAAACTTCTTTATATTTTCTGGAATGACATTTATTTTTATTTTTATTTTATTCAATGAATGCACTGGTTTATTTATTTCAGCTGTAATTTTCAGAACACACATCACCTAGTAGGTAGTATCTGTAAGCTACCTCTGATAGTGGCTTGATCTTAAAGTTTTTCCATGCAGAAACCACATGTGGAAAATTGAGAATAAAGAATATAATATTATAATGTCAGTTTTTAGTCCCTATCTCAAAGACCATACTATAGCTGAATGTCACTAAACACAGGACTGTATACTATTTTAAGATCTTAAATTTAATGAAAGCTTAGATTATTTGTTTCTCACCAAGGAAGCAGAGTTTCAGAGACTTAAAAACACTTGTTAGAGCCCTTTGGTGGCCAAGTGGCAGGGCTGGGATGAAGGCAAGATCTTCTGACAGCTGGGCCAGTGCTTCCCCAAGATAACTTCCACCTGCCATTGGCCAAACTTTGGGCAGTATCTGTCATACCCTGAAACTGTTAGGCTTAACATTTTATTCATCAAAGGATTAAGGGCCTAGTCACAGACTTTGTTTTCTGAACAGAGATCACACAGGCTGAGATGCTTTGGATAAAGTTCTGTTGAACAGGGCCAATGTTTAAATTTTGTTCCAAACCAAGCTTAACTGAACACATTGGAATTTTCCCACTCCTATTGAGATAACACAGAACATTCAAATCCCGAGGTGAAAGATCTGCTGTTACATCTGTTGAGTAAGTTAGATACCAACTGATGTGTATTTTGTGACACTCTTTTCCAACTCCTATAATTAAGCCATTTTCCTCTGAGTTGGGGCTGGTTCTGATCCTGGTCTCCAGGCAAGACCCACATATGTTCAACCCACCTATCTTTCTTGGGCAGGTGCTATTCACCATGGTCTCTGTCCTCAGAGCAAAGGTTCCACCCACAGACACACATTAAACAGTGCTACTCTATGGAATTCCCTGTGTTAAAGACCTTGGAATAGAACCACAAAAAGCTGCTTTTCTGTGGCTAAGACTAAATGAGGAGGCAGGAAGGTGGAACTGAAGCGAGTAGCTAAAGTTCTTTTGTCTGCTTCCATTCAGTTAAAATTCTCCTTCTGAACAGAGATCAGACAATATTGTTTTCTTTTATGTACACTGTAATTAAGTGTTGAGTTCATTAAATACATGTAGATTTATTTAATGAACATAAACCTATCTAGAGTGTGCACCTGCTTTTTCAAGTGAAATCGGCAAGTATTTATTTGGTGTTAAACTCTCATCCCACCCTGCTACATTCTTTCTCTTTGACTTACTACCTTTCACCATGTCCTAGCTCCTTTTGATTACTATGTCAAGGATAATTAACTAACTCTACTGCCAGATTATCTCCAGTTCCACATCATTGTCTTAAGAGAGGGCAAGTTCTTAGGCTAGGAGAGGGCAAGGAAGAGTTTATCCTAAGTAGAAATGACAATTGACTGGTGCTATTGCCTGGAATTCTGTACTGAGAGGAATACTCAGAATAAACCCACAGTTTAGTAAGAAAAAGTACCAAAATCAATTAACAATATCTGTTACAGGTCAGGAGGTTCCAAGTGGGGCACTTGGACCCATATTTAATGTCTCCAATGGAAGGTTTGTGTTTACCTATGCAGTCCTTTAGGAAGGATGCACAGGTTGCTCACGGTGAAGGTGGCCTACAGGAGACAAACTTACTCTTGGGGCCCTGAGACAGGGAGTGATGCAAGCACTAAACAGAGCAGATATGAAACCAGAGAGGATGAGAAGAGATCTCATGAGAATCCCAGAGATCAGAGGGTAAGATTGTTCAATGTTGTTAATGTCAACAAAAACATTCTAATCCTCACTGTCCTTATTCATTTCCTTTACGTGTCATCTGGCCCTTTATGTAAACTGCCCCACTTCCTGTTAGAAATAGGTAGAGTATGCACAGAACATACATAAACAAATAGCAAACATTAGAATAGAGAAGAAAAGGATATCTATATGACAGCTGAACAAAATAGGAGAATTAGGAGCAGATGGCTTCTTAAACTCTAAGTCTTGATTGAAGCTGACCAGACTGATCTCTCATTTAGAGGTTCATTATTTCAGAAACTCAAAATAGGAAAACTATGCAAAAGAAAGGTGACTAACACCTTTCTGATTTCTAAAACTGTCTCTGACCCCTCTTGCCTCTCTTCCAAATATTTCAACACCCTCACCGAGTCTGAATGTGGAAATTGTTGGTGGTTCCGGTATGCTCGTAGTCATGGATGGCAGCTGAGAAGATTATAGCAAAGATCTCCAGCTCCGTCAGCCAGTTCTGAAAGGAGATTACAGAGCAATCAGATGATCTGTTTCTTTCTCAAAGTCTTCAGCTTGCTGACAACACACCCACAGTGCTGCCTTTCCACCCTGCAGCTGATAAGCTATTGCCAAACACAAGTTTTCTGAGAGACAGAAATGTTATTTTCCTGTGAAGAGACTTGGAGACTTGTGATTTGAAAACAAGGTGTTCAGCAAGGTTGAATAAGCTACCTAGTAGTTTTATCTTTTTCAAGAAATCAAAGAGAATGAACATGAAGACTTGAAAAGCCCTCATTGCATCCTCCCTCAACTTCTAAATAAAGTGCCTAGGTAGACACACACACACACACACTTAGAAATTTTAACACAATACCAAGAACAAAGAGTAATAGAAAAACCTAACGTCTGATTATAGGAGGAATATCCACTAGGAAGTGGGTAGAGACAGATGGAAAAATAATACTTGGCTTTCTGCTCTATGCATGCTGATGATGTTTGAAAGGACTTCTCCCCATCCACACCATCAACACTGGCTGTGGGTCAGTGGTTCACAAAACGTGTTCCTTGGACATGCAGATGGTGTCAGCTGGGAGCTTGCTAGAAATGCTGGCAAATTTTTCAGCCCCACCCCAATCCCACTGATCAGAAACTCTAGGTTTTGGCCCAGCAGTCTATGCTTTACCAAACCATCTAGATGGTTCTGATGCACACTAGAGTTTGAAAACTACTGCTGTGTTTCAATCTTCCTTAACTGACTTCCATTTAATGGACTCTGTGGATTTACTTCCTATCACTTCTGTAAACCGTCCTGCCCCATGCCCACACGACAGAATATGCCTGACTCTGGCCACCTTCTCATATCCTTTGCTCACTTTTGTTACTAGTTAAATTCATACTTACATGATTCAGTATGGTTTATTCTAAACTGCATTTTAATAAATTGTATTTGTTATTATAATTATGTAATTAAATGTGACACAAACCAATAAAATATGGACACGAAATTGGAGTTGTTATTTCTGTAGAAACTAAGTTTAATGCTTTGGACAGTCACTAAAAGAACTGTTGTCAAAATATGTATGACAACTGTGAAAGAGCAGAAAACATTTACAGAAAAGTTAGAGAGCTTCTGCACTCAGTTTGCTTCAGGCACGTCTTTAAGTTCCCATTTAACTTTAAAGAGATGAGACTAGAAATCTTAGATAGGGGCAGGGTTGATATAAGACAAATGTGAGTATCCAAACTGGTGAACTCATAAAAGACCTGTGGTCTGAATTAAAGATTAGTGCATAAAATAGATTTATATAACTTAATGCAAAATGAGTTAAAATGAATGTTTAAGTGTTTCTAATTCCCCACTTAAGCCGTATCTTTCAATTAACTACTAATTTTGGAGAATTATTGCCTTCTTTAAAAATCAGTGAGGGGACAAACAAATGACATAGAATTTATGAAGAATACTTCAGAGTTGGGGCAAACATGAGCATAAACACACCTCATGAAAAAAGAAACCACTGTGCTTTGGAAAATGATTCCTAACAGAATCCAGCATGAAATGTCAGGAAGCTTTCTGGCGTCTTCAATAATATACCTCAAAAATACAAATTGAGGTACGTGGAATGGAAAGTCAAAGAGAAAACAGACCAAGATGAAAATCAACAAAATGAGATGAAAAAAAGATGGGCAAGATAAGGAAAGATTGCAAGAAAATCGAAGCTGCAAAACACCTTGTAAAGGCAGCAGAGAGCCTCCTCATCAGTCTCTTCATTGTCTTAGGGGCCCACGACGTGGCAGGCATTATGCTAGGTGCTTTTATATAGAAACTTACATAACACTCACAGCTCCGTAATCATAGGTACTGTTGTTATCCCTACTTGGCAGATAAGGAAACAAGCCAGGGTGCGGTGCAGAACGTACCCAAGGTCACGTAGCCAGTCATGTGACAAGCCACATACCATGCCTCCAGAATTCTCACTCGTAATCTTACATTGTATCTTCTTTGGATCATTGTTCATGTGTTTATCCAATTTTTCATAAAATTATATAGGTATAATTTTATATTGCACAGTTTTCTTGATATTATCCATATATATATTACATATGTAGACTTTTTTTTTCATTTTGGCATTGTCTTTCTTTTCTTCCCTAATATTTTGTCCCCACCCATCTGTCCCCGGTTCCCTCTACCTCCTCTCCCACATATATCTCTTATTCTAAGGTCATGTAGCGTTAATTTCACATTTTAAAATAAGATTATGAATGGGAGACAGTGTAACATCTAAACAAATCCTAGTCACAGAACATCAGCACAGGCAGCAGAGAGCATCTAAATAACAGTACAGTTACAGTTCTCACATTACAACTATCAGTGACACTTCCCTCCTTACCCAAATAATTGAACAAAATCCTATCTTAGTTATAACCTACCTCTATTAAACCAAAAACAATGAATGATTAAACAGGCATTCAACAACAACAACAACAAAAAAACAAAACCATTGTCTTTAAAACTCATTTTAACACCTTAGTTTTTCAACAAACACCATGCATGCTTAGAATAAGTTATACTGCTTTGGGGATAAGGAGAAAGAAAAGTGGTATCTGGGAGAAACAGCTTCACAGAGGAGAGAGAGGTTTAAGATCGGTCTTGAAAATTTGACAGAGAAAGAAGTGAAGGTGGGCATTTTCAGAAGAATGAACTAAATCAACAAGTCCTGTCAGCAAAAGCATGTTCATTTCAGGTAAGAAAATGATGCCCTTGACTGGAGCAGGAGTGAAGGCTGATTGAGGGCCTATGAGGTCAGGCATTAGAAAACAGAGTGAGTGAGAAATATAAACCAGATTCAGCAGGCGGTGAAGCTCACACAGAAGAGTCATGCAATCAGCTCCCCACTTCAGGAAGGACATTTGGACAGGAGGAGAGAAGGGAGATACAAAAGCATTTTTGTTGTTGTTGTTTTTAAACAGGATATCACTCTGTTGCCCCGGCTGGAGTACAGTGGTGCAATCTTGGCTCACTGCAATCTCTGTGCCTATGGCTCAAGCAACCCTCCGACCTCAGCCTCCCAAGTAAGGGCTGGGACCATAGGCACCCACCACCATGCCCAGCTATTTTGTTTTTGTTTTTTTGGTATTTTTAGTAGAGATAGGAGTCTCACCATGTTGCCCAGGCTGGTCTCTAACTTCTGAGCTCAAGCAATCCGCCCATCTGGGTCTCCCAAAATTCTGGGATTATAGGCATGAGCCACTGTGCCTGGTCAAAAGCAGTATTTTTAGATTGAAAAGTTCATATAGGATGTACAGACAGTGTGGAGGTAGAAGTCATATGACTTAGCAATTATCTGAATTTTGGAAGTGGTAGGAAGACCAGATGAGGTTGGAGTCGAGGAGAACAATATGTTAGATGACCTCAACACTCCTGGCCTCACTGAATGGCTAACAAACCCCTCAGGTGGTATTAGATAGCATCATTAACAGAAACAGAGAAAGTAGGGGAAGCTATTTTGGAGGAAATTGAGCTTCCTATTTTAATATAGCTCAGATTTTCTTGCCTCTTCCAAATAAACTGCCGTGAACCCAGAAGGTTTTGTGTCAACCCATAAGAAGTCAGAAATTAAAGTCCCACTGGCATTTTATTCCAGAATTACCAATTAGTGGCAAGGTACAAGTCACATATGCTACCAGTATTTTCCTATCTACAAAATATGATTGTCACAACTGGTTCATTTGAAAGGATGCTTTGACAACTGGTAATAGGGGATCTTGAGTTTTGCTGTGTATGACAGCAAGAAAGCAAGCCACTTGTTCCTGCACATAGGGGCAGATGAGGAGACATGGGGTACAACAGCCCAGAGGAAACCTGAAGGAAAAGGACATGGCCAATTTCTCATTGTTAGGGGAGATACTACTAGCAAGTTGTGACTTTTGTAATGTGAATGATAGAGTTTCTTTAGTAATCTGTTAGTTTTCCATGCTACCTTAACAAATGTTGAGTCTTGGAGGCTTAAAGAACACTTCCAGGCCTGGCGTGATAGCTCACGCCTATAATCCCAGCACTTTGGGAGGCCGAGGCGGGTGGATCACCTGAGGTCAGCGGTTTGAGACCATACTGGCCAACATAGTGAAACCCCGTCTCTACTAAAAACACAAAAATCAGCCGGGTGTGGTGGCAGGCACCTGTAATCCCAGCTACCCAGGAGGCTGAGGCAGGAGAATCACTTGAACCCAGGAGGCAGAGGTTGCAGTGAGCTGAGATTGCACCACTGCACTCCAGCCTGGGTGACAGAGCGAGACTCCCTCTGTCTAAAAAAAAAAAAAAAAAAAACACTTCTGATTATTTGCACACAGTTCTGCCAGTCAGAAGCCCAGCCCAGTGTGGATGGGTTCCCTGGTCAGGGTATCCCAAGGCTGACATCAAGGTTCGAAAAGGCCTGTGTTCCTTTCTGGTGGCTCTGGGGGAAAATCTGCTTCCAAGAGTATTCAGAGCATTGGCAGAATTCATTTCCTTCTAACGTTTTCCACGGTTTCCCTCTTCACCTTCAAGCTGGCAATGACTGTTGGGTCCTTCTAACACTTGAAACCTCTGATTTCAGCCATACCTCCTTGACTTTGATGAACTTGTGTGATTACATTGGGCTCACCTGGAAAATCCAGGCTAATCTCCCTATTTAAGGTCTTCTGATTGTTAACCTTAATTGCATCTGCAAAATCCCTTTTACAATCCAATGTAACATATTAATAAATACATGTAACACCAGAGAACAAAGGTTGCAGGAGCCAAATTTCTACTAATTACAATCCCTAATAAAATTATTTGGCACTCTTCAAACAAAATGTAATTTTGATATCCTTAGTCTTTCCTGTATTAATTATGGTCATGTCATAAACGACCAAAAACAAAACAAAACAAAACAAAACAAAAAAACAAGATACGCAGCTTCTCCTTTCTGGAAAAAAAAGAATAGACAAAGGGAAGATTACTGGCATCTTGCTTGACAAAAGCAAGGAAAGTGGCGA